TGGAACAGTATTGTCTTGTGATTTCTCAGCGTAGAGATGCCTTCTCCAAATCCCGAGCTGCGCGTATGCATCAAAGTGCAACAGGACTTGGCACGGGTTGTTCGACGGCCGTACGACTTCCCAGTATTGAAGGGAGATTCAACTATGGCAATCGCTTGCAGGTGTGAGGATCCTGCAAGGACCTGTGGCGGTCCAGACTCTCATCTTCTTCTTTTTCTTCTTGTGCTTGGTCTTGTCGATGTCTTTTAGCATCCAGGTTGTACTGTGCATGCTCGCAAGTTTACTGCATGGAGTCAGGAGCGAGGGCAGGGAACTTTTGTGGTGGGCAGCGGCCACAAAGCATAGCGCCCCGCCCAACAGCAAGAGCACGCTCGCCTTGAGCAGACAGCAAAAAGCAAAACCAGACAGGAGACCACAACACGCACCCCGCACAGAGAAGACAAGCAGAGGCAACAACACAATCGCTGTTGCGTGGTGGGAGCAGCCTGCACTCCATTTCAGTCCTTTCCACCACGCTGGAACGATGATCCCTAGCAATGCACCTGCAGCACAGTGAGCGAATCCTGCAGGAGTGCAACTCGTCACGCGCCGCCGCATCCCTTGAACCTGGGGCGGCTGTAGACCACGGAGTCCCAGCCAAGGGAGCCTCAGACCGTCAAGACATGTTTGATGGAGTGCCCAGAGTGCAGATTCTTGGAGTCGCTGGGACTCTGTCGGCCTCTGTTTTGCGATCTTCCCGCGCTAGCCGAGTTGTCGAAGCCTTTTGGGCTGGGCTCCTTTTGTGACTCGGCCGGATGTTCAAGATGGCCTGCAAGGCCTCTAAGATTTGATTGACAATACGGGTTAAGGTTGAGCTCTTTGCATCGAGCTTCCTAGATAAATCTGTGGCCAGAGGCTTTCGGATTAATACAGTGTTGTGTCAGGCACAGGCGCATTCATAGGAGGCGCCTGCCGTCTCGGAGATCTTAAACATCCATGGATGAGTTCGACATGTGAATGCGAACTCGCGCCCCCGCCGTGCTATTTGCATGTGGAGTCTCTCCATGTGGAGCATTGGAGGCTTTGCTCTTGGCAGGCTTGCATCCTCCGTCAAGGAATGCCACTTCTCTACCGTCACACACGCTTGATACCCTAAACCCTGGACGGCCACGTGGGCAGTCCAAGAACATGTGCTCGTTGCTGCCAAAGTGCCAACAGAGGAGACCGGCATTTGAAACACTGACGTGAAGATGATACCTTGTGATAATGCGTACTTACCTTCCGGTCATGTGCAGGCTCTTCGAAAGCCGAAAGCCTCAAGACCGAACCTACTGTAGCCCAAGTCATTCCGAAGCCTGCAGATCACAGCGGAAGGTCCGCCAAACAATTAAGCCTTGAAGCCCCTCTTGACCCTGGGGAAGCAGCCACGGCTAGCAGTGGACCTCTCCTTGGCGCACAGTGGAAAAAGCTTAGGAAGCCCTCAGAGCACGCTGGGCTTTGCCAGGGCAGCAGATAGGGGATGTATTCCCACCATAATTTCCTGAATGCTCCCATGGGCCATCTTCTCTCGAGCTGGAAGTCCCTGCCCCAGGAAGTACCTCAAGGCCCGTTGGGAGGGAAAGAGGAGGGGGGGGGAAGGTGGGGCTGGCTGGGGAGGGGAATTGCGCTCGGCTTGGACCTAGCCGCGGTTGAGGGCAGGCCCCAGCTTCGAGAGAGAGGTTGGAGGTTGCCATGAGTTTACACGGATTACCGGTTAGGGCTTACAAACCAATTAGGTTGTGGATTTCGGGGCAAAGCATTCGATGCAACAGGGACGGGCTAAGATTCCACCGAGACCTTCGCATCCTGACTGGAGGTCACCTGGACCATGATGTGTCGAATGCAATTGCTGCTCCTCGCCTCATGCGACCCTTGCCCGCACGGGGGATTCCAGGGAGGGCCATGAAAAATGTGGGAATCTGTGGGAGAAACTTGGAGCATTGTCTGTTGCGTGCAGCCGAACACGCCTACTCCAAGAGCTTCTCAACATATTGAACAAGTTGAAGCGCCCCGAACTTCGTGAAATTCAGCATGTCTTCCCACCCACAAGCTGGAAAAATAAAACTCAAAGGATAAGAGCCACCCTCTCGAGTCGAAACAGACTGAGGCGTATCTGTCCAGAGCAACTCCGGGCGCCCCGGCACAGTACCAGGCGCAGGGCACCACAAGTTGAGCTAGGTCTCCTTAAGTCCAGGAACGACTCCTTAAAGCGCCTTTTCCACATGTAGGTGGACTACAAGACCTATGAGGACTACAAGAAGGACTTGCAGCCTGCACTGCGACGCATATGAGTGCGTCGTGTTTGTGTTTGTGTCTGTGGTTGGTTGGCTGGTGTGTGTGTGTGTGTGTGTGTGTGTGTGTGTGTGTGTGTGTGTGTGTGTGTGTGTGTGTGTGTGTGTGTGTGTGTGTGTGTGTGTGTGTGTGTGTGTGTGTGTGTGTGTGTGTGTGTGTGTGTGTGTGTGTGTGTGTGTGTGTGTGTGTGTGTGTGTGTGTGTGTGTGTGTGTGTGTGTGTGTGTGTGTGTGTGTGTGTGTGTGTGTGTGTGTGTGTGTGTGTGTGTGTGTGTGTGTGTGTGTGTGTGTGTGTGTGTGTGTGTGTGTGTGTCTGAGACACCTCAGGTTTTGCAACGGTGATGCTGCAAACGCATGCAAAAGCACGACTCTGTGGCATCAAGCTCCTAACCAACACAATGCAATGTCCTCCCAAGCCTACCTGACACATCCAAGCTGTGCTATAGCGAGGGCCGGCACTGCGTCGGCCACCATTATTGTGTGCCTTCAGTGATGTGGCCCAAAAACAACAAACACACAAAAACATAGAATATAGAACACACAAGAGCACAAAAACACAAAAGCACACACTCAAACGTCGGTTTCCGCTTGCAGACCAGAGCGAGTGGGGCAAGCAGGGCAAGTGGCAGGAAACAATTGCCTTGCACGTGCACTGCAAAGGCAGGCATACCACCTGGCAAACGTTGGAAAAATCGGATATACCGTGATCGTTTCTCTGTTGGAACTCGCCCTGCTTGCCTGTTTCAGCAAAGCGCACAATTCTGAGCATTATGACGGTAAGCTCCAAGTGAACAAAGATGTCAACTCTCACTAGCAGGTGCTGGGAATTTTAAGTCAAGGTGCTGATGACAGAGGTGGTCATTCTGATGGCGGCACAACACAAGGGGTTGACGTGCTGTTGAGTGTACAGCAGGCTTCTGCAAGGCCATGATCAGGTTCGGAGGCACGCTTTAGTGACTTTAGTGGACGATACTGATTAGCTGCACCCTTGCGATCCTGGACCCAGACAGCTGTGCTGCATTCATCGTCAATATTGTCATCATTGTCATCATCGTCACCATCATCATCATCATCATCATCATCATCATCATCATCTTCTGACACTTTGGCCTTAAGGTTCATCTATTCAAGAGCTGTTGAAACGAGAGCCTGGTAGTTTGCTCCCAGAGCACGAGACATCATCTGCTTTGCGCATCTTCCATGTACTCTGTGCACAGCGCAAACATGTTGCATGCAGGATGCATTTCACAATGGTACCATGCATGAGAAAGTCATGATGCCCGGCAAGTATCTTGCACCTGAGCAGTCAAACGGCTAAACTCCTTGCGAGTTCTGACAGAGTTTCAAGCAACTAAGTCGGGTAATGCAGGCCATAATCAACTGCATAGTCGATAATTTGAGAGATACAAGAACATGTAAAATCCTCCCTTACCTAGAAGTGGAGCGGGCGAAGGAGGTGGAGTCGGCTGGCAAGGGGGCGATGAACTACACGGCCTTCACCAAGGAGGGGCTGAATCTGCCGGATCGTACATTGCTAAACTGCATAATGAAAGTTGGTGGTGCAAAAGAAGGGCGGGGTATGTGTGGGAGACTAGCGTGGAAAAGTCAGGTTCCAAAGTCATGGGTTGCAGAGATTCTTGGCATCGCAAGGTCTTGCGTTTGGAGGTGAGACTTGGGTGCTGCCCCTGAGCTCCACCGGTTCCCTTCATCGTGTCGATTTTGCTCGGAGGCCTACGAGAAGTACCAGAAGTTCATGGCATACCTCCACAAGGACCGCTAAATGAGGCCCAAAAAACCCTGCCCTAAACCTCAGATCCCCAAACCCCACCTCCAAGCATGGAAAAAGCCCTAAAAGCCCAATCAAAAGTCAAGAAGAGTCTCCGCGAGTTGGGGCAAGAAAACGCTCAGGTCCTTAAATGCAACGCCAGGAGGGGAGCCACTCCCCTGTGAACTTCCACAAGCAGGGGCCTGTGAGGTGTACGGCAATTTGGGGGGGTGGGGGGGGGGGCGGAGAGTGTTGTTAGAGGCATCCTGGGGGTTGCTACGGTCTCCGGGTTTAGGTTTTTGGGTCTTCAGGGTTTTGAAACTTCAGGGTTCAAGGTTCTAGAGCTTTGAGGGTATTAGACAGAAGAATCCTTCGTTTTTTCCACAATGACAATCATGCGAGCATTGTGTATGCTGATGGAGGTCGTTGCCCCCCCCCCCCCCCCCCCCCCCTCTCCCCCCCCCAAACGCCGGAGGGGCCGAGCCAGACCTACTTGTAGGAAAAGGGGGGGGGGGCACCAAACCTATGAATTAGAGTTTATGTAGGCTTAGCGTGTGGGGTTTAGGCCTTTTTGGGGCTCAGGGTTTAGGATTTGAAGTTCGGAGGTTTTGGGCTTTAGGGTTTCAGGCTTGTAAATTGCCCCCCCCACTCCTCCCCCCCCCCCCCCCCCGGGTAGCGGTTTGGGGTAGATGAATTTAGACTGTTGGGTTTAGGAAGTTGGGGTTTAGGGTTGAGGCTTTCGGTTTAGGAATTTGGGGTGTCGGGTTTCGGGGGAGGTGTGGGCGGGGGCGGAGGGGTTTCAGAAGATCGGGGCTGAATTTTGAAAAGCTTTTCAGGAGTGAGCCAGAAACCCTACCCATTGGGAGGTATGCTGGAGCATCTCCTGGTTAGCAGCTTTGAAAGTTTGGGGCAAGGAAAAGGCTCGCCATGGACTGCTTCTGCGCTGCGGCACCCAAAGTGATGAAGTCGTACAAACTGGTCTACTTCGATGCCCGTGGTGTGGCGGAGACTTGCCGATGCCTCTTCGCGGCCGCCCAACAACCCTATGAGGATATCCGACTCTCACTGACATTCGGAAAGCCTGGGGACTTCAGCACCATCAGCCGTCCGGAGTTCGATGAGATGAAATCCAAGGGTGAGCTCGACATCTCCCTGGGGAAGGTTCCGCTGCTGGAGGTGGATGCGGGCCTGAGTGAAAGCTGGTCTGACAGTTCCAAGGACCCATACTATGGTGCTAGCATGAAGAACTTGCCCTGTTTCTCCCCCTGAAGGTGGACGGTAAGAAGATTGGCCAGTCAAAGGCCATCGAGCGCTATCTGGCAGCGGATTTCGGCATGATGGGTGGCTCCAGTGTGGAGGCTGCGCAGATCGACCAGCTGGGGGAGACCATCCGTGATCTCAAGGAGCCTTGGCCTTTCACCATACTCGTTGCCATGCAGTGTAAGAGTGATACAGGTTACCAGCCTTGCTTCATACCTCGTTGAGGGGGCCGGCTGTGACACAGGATGCCTACCAGAAGGCCAAGGGGGTCAAGGAGGAAGAGAAGGCGGCAGCGGCTCGACTGCATGCTGAGTCTTATGCTCCAGATTGTCGCTATCGGTCAGGCTCATCTTCATGCTTGGGTTCAGCCTCTTTCTGAACCTGCGTCGGACCTTGAGGGTGTGAGTTGTGTTCAAGAGGGGCCCGTATTGCGCCTGTGAGCCACCTCCCTTCGTGAGTCGTACCAGGCCATGGAAAAGTGGTTCAAGGAGGAGCTCCCGGCCCCTTGGCCTTCTCTGTTTTGGGGATTTGGGCCTTCCGGGTTTGACGTTTTTGGGTTCAGAAGTTCGGGGTTAAGGTGGGCTGTTCTCGAATATGCAGTCCTTTCCTGAGGTATGCTGTAGAAAAGGCTGCAGGAGAAGGGACCCCAAACCATCAACCCTAATTTCGGGGGTCTACCAGGGGCCGTTGATGTGAGGAGTGGGTGCGCAAAGCCGAGAAGTCCTTGCCGCCGGGGACAGGTCCATTTCTCGTCGGAGGCTGGTGGTTTTGGGTTTGCACCGATGAAAAACTCCTCTGGGTAGCCACTGCAACACTGCAACAGCCATCAAAAAAGAGTGGGCTGTGAAGCGGCTGCAGTTACAGCTTGGGTGTCAAGTCCCTGTTATCTAAACGAATGATTGCAGACCCCCTCCCAGAAAAAACTTCGACTAGCAGGTGAATGCAAGTTCTTCGTTGAGGACTTCAGCAAGAGGTTGAAATTCGAAGAGCTCCGGCTGATTCAAACCGCTTGAAGTTCTAAGCGACCTCGAACTCTCCAGGCAAGCTGTCGCTAGCCGACATCCAATGGTACGGGCTGCTGGGCCGTCGAAGCCCTTGAAAGGTGGTTTATGAGGGTTTATGAGGGTTTGTGAGGGGTTAGGGATACTGTGAAGTTATTAAGTTATGAGCCGGAAACCCAGGGCAGAGTCAAGCAGCCGTGAACACCAGAGACGACAGCCACAGCACATCCAAGCAGACTGCTCACAGCGACGATCCGACAGCCACGCCCAAATCGGCGCTCAAGGTCCACCCCGAAGTCTTGTTCCGCACTTGACACAAGGTTCGGCCCCAGCCAAGGAAGATCTTGCTTCTCCCAGTCCGGATTTTGTTACAAGTTGTTGGCTCCTCCTGTTTTTGGGAACGAAGCAACTCCCACGAGCTTCTCCACCCCAAGCCCTTAAGGTTCTTGAATTTCTTAGGCTGCTCCTGGCTCCCAGCGGCTTCTTCGACAACACGGAGGGCGCAAAGGCCTCCTTCCAGGAGCCTCCCTCAGACATGTTCGCAAGTTTCGCAAGTTAGGGGGGGCTCAAGGGGCTATCTTGCAGTTGGGGGGTGCCCTTCTGTTGGGGAATGCCCGAAATATCTTTGAAGCTGCTTCATGTTGGGGATCACTTTGCAATGAGCCCTTCAGACAGCCAACGAAATAGGAAGCCCTATTACATCTTCGCAAGCTTCACAAGCCTGCCGTCAGGACTCGCCCAGGATGAAGGCAGCCCTGTTGCCGGGCTGCAATCTTGCGAGAGTGTCGGACCGACCTTTGACGCCTTTGCCGGTACATCGGGGGTGCAAAGAATCAAAGCTCCATTGTTGTGAAATTTGGGCCTGCGCCGGCTAGTCCCTCAGCCAAGTCCCAAAGTCCTCTGTAAGCGCGGTTCTCGAGACCCCCCCCTCCTCCATGGTATCCCCCAAGCCCTGACCGTTGCCCCTGAAGCCACCGCGAACCACAGGGGAGGAGCGTGAAACCCTTAACCTACCCGCAACCCTGACGGCAGAGCCCTAAACCTAAACCTAAACCCACCATGCACCACAGAAGGGAAGAGGGGAAACCCTGAAACCTTAACCGCCTTAACCCTGAACCGTAAACCCACCAAGAAACACAAGAAAGAGGGGGGAACCCTAAACCAAGCCCTACACCCACCATGAACCCCATGAACCACAGACCATGAACCACACCGGGGGGGGGGGGGCTGGGGAAGGGGAAGCCCATAAGCCATCATAAACCACAGAAGGGGGGAGGGGGAGGGGGAGGGGGCGGGGGGGGGGGGGGTGGGGTTCCGTGAATGCTGTGGGCCGCCCTTGCTTGTCTGTGGGTTCGAGTTTTAAAAGGCCGTGCTCTGCTGAGGCTGGCCGTGGATGCCCTGCCACAGCTTCAGGAGTACTTTGCCAAGCGGAAGCAGACCATGTTCTGAGACTGAGCGGTGGCAGTTCCAACTTAGAGGCAGGCTTGTCCTGCTCGATTGCCCCAAAGCCCCAAGAATAATATCTCCATCCCTTCGTTCCCTACAAAGTACTGTTTTAGAGTGAGCGCGACTTTCCTTGGATGTCAAGCTTCGCAAATGCTGCTTTTGGTTAGGCTTGCTCTCTCGGGCTAATGCTGCATAGCATTACAGAGTGTAGACACCGATTAGGAGCCTAACCGAACATACTTACTCTGCTGTACAGGGGTCGCTCAAAGACGTTCGGTCAAGAGAGCTTCCCCCCCCTTTGTTCGGAGAAGAAACAGGCTCGGGAGCGCCTCGTGTACCACGATGGGACCACGAAAGAGCAGACAGGAGTAGTACACTAGGCAGAGGCGAGATGTTCTCTGAGGGCGCGTCCGCAAGGCAGCTTGCAGGCGAACGTCCCAGAATGTCCCAGATGTCCCGAGCCTGTTGCGGAGGGCACCTCTGCACAGTGCATAGATGTAGCTGTGGCAAAGCAAAGGCTTGCCCATGCTTGCCGCTTGAGATGCAAAAGAACTGACAAAACGCAACGGCATTCTCTGCACCCGGCTGGTGGCAGCTGTGCTGCTTCATCCTTACCTTCACAAACTGCGTTGGGGATCCATTGGGGGCCTTGGCACCTGACTACTTGCTGGCAGCTGCTCTTCCGAGGTTCCTGGCGGATTACGAGCAGTACATGGATTTCAAGAGCTACCTCGGCAAGGGTGTGCACCACCAAGCAGATCAGGCTCACAACTTCAAGGCCGCCTGCAAGCCAAAGCGGTATCTTGGAATTTCGCATCCTGAGACTGCACACCATTTTAGTTGGGGGGAGGACTTCCTTGACTTCGAGAAGTACCTTTCGTACACTCGCCAAAGCCGCTCGGAATTGTGAGGCCCTTAACGCACCGACAGTAGGCCTCCGCTTGTTGAGGTGCTGGTGCTGGCCCGGGTGACTACAACAAGTACTTCAGCCTGGGGCTCAGGTTGATCTAGGAGACCACTCTAAAGCCAGCATCTCTGCAGCATCACTTCAGTCGAGAGCAGCCTTGTGCCCATAGTTTAGGGGGGGCCTATCCCCCTCCAGAACTCCCAGAGGCGGCGTCCAATTCGATGCCTTGGACCAGGGAGCCTCCGGCTCGGAGCCCGGATCCTCGCGCAATCCCAAGGGGGGGTGGTACAACACCGTGTAAAGGGCATTAAAACCTGAAAAGCCAGAGAGCCCTACAAACCAGCTACACCCCAAGCCCTCCCATTAGGCCTTTAGGTTTTTGCTCTAAACCCTAAACCCTGAACCCTAAACGAAACCCAAAAGCCTAAACCGTAAGCCCCAAACCCCAAACCCCAAACCCCAAACCCCAAACCCTAAACCCTAAACCCTAAACCATGCTTGTGAGCCCTGCATTGGCCGAAGCGCCATGACCAGGGGCCGACGATGCTGGAGACCTTGACAGCGGTTCGGACTCGGGCCTCTTGGACGGCACTAAAAGGATCACATAAGATTCTCCATAGCAAAACTGAGAAAACCCCAAACTTAGAGGTTTAAACTGCATAGTAAACTGAGAAGACCACAAAATTGAAAGGTTGAAACGTCCTTGAGCCCCTTGCGTTGTTGTCTCTGAAGTTGTTTAGGTTGCCACGAAGCCTCGCCGTGGGCGGGTAGTTAGTGGGGCTCTGAATCTCCGCGCAACCTTGTCTACGCGTTTGGGGAGGGTTGGGGTTTCTTGGAATTTACTGTGGTTGAATGAGTCTAGTAGGTTCTCGGGACATGCATCTGCCTTCCATGCCAGCTGTACACCATGTGTTACATTCCCATCGTGTTGTGCTACATCGTTTTGTGCTTCATCGCCGGTGTACGGGTTTCCTTGCCTCTCTTTCTGCACAGCCTTGTGCACCTTGAGTGGTTTCGGGAGACGGGGAGACCCTACTGCCTTGGATCTCTGCTTCTAAGAGCTCCAGTGAGCCGAGGCCTCTCCAAGTTGGGCGGCGGAAACTTTGGGGGCGGATTCGCCCCTCGGAGCCTCCAAAGCCCGCGAACGCCGCCTTAAGCCCCCCCCTCCCCCCCCCCCCCCCCCCCGCCCAAAGAAGTCCTAACCCCTAAGCCCGAAACTCTAACTCTTAAATCCCAAGCCCTAAACCCTAAGCCCTAAACCCAAATGTTGCGGCAATCCGGATGGTATCTTTGAAGACCATAGCTGGGCATCCGAAGCCCTCAGGTCCCAGCTGGCACTACAGATGGCGGCCCCAAAGGCGGCATCCTGGGTTTTTTTCTCGGTTCAGGGCGAGGGCTGTGCAATGAAGGTCGGCCCAGCAGGGCCAGCCTTGCAAAGAGCGAGTGCAGAATCGCGCATTTTTTTGGTTGTGTTATGGTGTGCCAGCATATGCCACGTTATTTGCCTCTCTGTAGGGCTCTCCTGCCAGGTGGTCTGCAAGGCGTCACGTCCGACTTCCGTCAATACATGGCCGCTTGGCAGCAGCCATGGCAGTGGCCTGAGCATGGCAGCTTGCTTCCTGCAACACTGTGGCCTCCCCCCGCTTCAGCTATGTGATGCTATGCTTTTTGCTGTATTGGTGGAGTGGTGTCCTGGTAGCTGGCGTGTAAGAGGTGATTATGTTAGTCCCAGGCATGAATGCCTTGAATGCCTTGGAACACGGAGTACCCAACCAATGGTTGTCAATGAAAGCTGTGCTTGCACCCAACACCGCAACACAGGCGATGGCATAGACTGCATAACTTAGAATACCCGCCAAACGTAGAGCCTGCGGTTTCAAGCTTATGCCTCCCCCCATCTTTGCTTTAGTTATGCATTCTTTCCCACACGGCGGCTATAGGTATCCACAGCCCTTGAATCGTACAGGACAGTCGCCACCAGACATTCTTGTATGTCACAGATTACAAGCTGTTCGAATGGGATGGCCCAGGGCCTCACCGACACTATGTTTTCGGAGCACTTAAAGGGTTGGTGCGCTGCATGCGCATGCAAAACATGTGGTGACTTTCTGCGTGCCTATACTTTCGCTGACCCCTAAAGCAACCTGGCAACAGAAACCCTTCCAAAATGTGGGGCTGTCTGATTTCATGTACTGTGCGGTACACTCCACGACGTCTTACATGACGTCCGCTACATGGGAGAGGGCATGTAGCCGTAACTCACAATCCGGAGCCTGAAGGCCTTTGGGCATGGCCATGCTCTCCAGTTTGCTCAAACAAGTGTTGTAGTTCGTTCAAGCTCCAGGTTCGGGCTCGAGGATTCTGAGGGCCAAAGCATGACTACAAAAGCCCTGGACACTTGCATCCGTACTGGATAAGCTCGAGTTGGCATCGACACGCGTTGCAAATGTCCCGGCTGCTTGTTTGAATGGTAAGCCATAGATGCGCAACAATCAGTTCACAACAAAGCGCCAAAAAGGCCATGTGTGGACGCGAAAAGTGCAGCAGCCAGCGCCCCGTTGGCCCAGGATTATTCCAAGTACATGGGTATCTCCCACCAGTACACCAAGAAGGACCGGGTCTTCTCCACTTGGTGTTGGAAACCTGAGCTTACGGGGCGGCCAGGACTGGATGAGTGAGTGGCAGAAGTTCCAGCAGCAGGGCAGCCAGGATCAGCAGGCGGCCACCCGCGGTCTTGAATGCAAGCTTGAGCTGTCTAGGAAGAGCCAATGAGTGAGATCCCAAGACTCCGCCAACTCGGCAGCCCAAGCCCTCAGGCTCAGCCGACCTCAGCCGCTTTTCACGTTTCAAATCCCATCTTCAGCATGAAGCCCACGACTCCGAAATGTTGCTTGTCCAGTTGCAGTTGTTGAGTCCTCATTCCGCTCGCCCTGCGTGCAGGTCCCGTACTCGCCCAAGGACTGCAAGACAGAGGCTGAGCTCGATGCCTGGCCCTTGCCGGCTTGTTTAGGGGTTTGGTGTCGGGCCTGCGATTGGAGATGCTTTCGTGGCTCTTATGTGGAGCCGCGAATGGCAGGCGCGACAAGCAGAAGAAGATTGCCCAAACCTGGATCCCCACAATGTACCAGGCCGTACCCCCTCTTTGCGGATCGGGGGTGCTTGTGAGAGCCTTTTTTTTAAGCCTAAGAAGGAGCCCCCGGAATCATGAAGCGGGGCTGTCTGAAAGAATAGCCTCCAGGATTTCATGTTTCGGGGCTCTCGGCAAGCCTCAATACAGGGGTTCTGGGGCTGCACCCTGGGCCACCAGGAGCCCACGCTGTCCAGCATCGATAAGGAGCCCTACCACCACAAGAGTAGCAGAATTCTGCTTGGAGCTTATAGCCCTCATGGAACCACTCGTGCTGTTCACCCGTGATTCTCGTGAGGAGTACAAGGAAAACCTTGAGCGCATCAAGCATCCCAAGGAGGCTGAGGCGGCTTCGGGCGGCGGTAGTGACCTCTTCATAGTCAGCTCTCGTTTCGGGAAACGCACGTGCCAGCATACGAGCGTACGTACATAAATACATATGTTGAGGTACATATGTAGAGGTACGTGTATATGTGTTTGTACGTTTACACTTGCGAATATGCATGTGGATCCATATCTATGTGCACATAGATTTCTTAAACTGATATATAGCTGAACTGCATTTGACACCGCTAAATTCTTGATGAAGGCAGAAAGGATGTTTCTGCAATTGGCAGGGGCGCTTTATCCCTCAGTACAAATATATGTGTTGTTGGAGGTTGAGAAGCATCTCTTTTGTGAAGGGAGCCCTCCTCACCTCCACCTCATCTTTGCAAGAACCCTAAAATCCCTAGTTCCAATGTAAATGAAGGCTCCAAAGTTGCCAGAGCAAGTCACACAAAAGGTTTGGATCTTGGATGTCTGGGATTTGCGGGGGAGGCGGTGGGGAGGGGTCTGACAATCCATGCAATCCCAAAACGCCATGTGAAAGCGCATCCAAACGTTTCTGGAGGACCTCTGGCTAATGTTAGGCTTTGAGATTTGTGCGAAATAATTTTCTTAAGGCTTAGAAAAGTACGCGTTCCGCAA